CAAGCTGTCTATGCGACAGCTGATCAATATACGCAAATAATCGTCAAAATAAAAACGCTGCAAAGTTCTTTATTCGACTAATACTGCGACATAACGGTTAGCCATTTCACCGTTGTACGCTCTCTTCTTCTTTATACGCTCTTGATATAATATATATACATATATATATATATATAACTATAATATAATATATGATATATGTATATATGTATACACAAAATATGATATTTAACCTGTCTGGTTAATATCATATTTTGTGTATACATATATACCATATATATCAGGGTAGATAAAGGGAAGGAGTGTGACTCCAATAAACAAGGAAATTCGTCATTTACTAGCCTTTATAATACCCGTACGATTTACTACGCGTAACTCATCCAACTGAGCTCAAATCGGACACAGTACATTGCCACATCATCGTACCAGATCGTTTCCTCGTAGACACCCGCAATCCGGAGATACAGCACTAAAACATACGACACCGATTCTCCAATCTTTGTCCATTAATCAACCGTAGCAATCGCCTATGATTCAAACAAAAGGCAGCTACTCACCACAGCTGTCCACGCTTGCGCTCACGGCGAGCGCGGCTGTGGCTCGCAGGGAGATTTTAATCGCGATCTGCTGCTGATAGGGATATGGCGTGCGCCGTGCGGTATGGGGGCATGCCAGCTGTATTGCCGCATAAGGCATACATTGTAGTTGTATAGCCGGGTCAAAAGTTATCTCGCCGAGTGTTGCGGTTGATGCCTAACACCCTGCGAGCCACAGCGGCTCGCCCGTGAGCGCAAGCCGGGACAGTGTGGTTAGTAGCTGCCTTTTTGTTTGAATCATAGGCGATTGCTACGGTTGATTAATGGACAAAGATTGGAGAATCGTGTCGTATGTTTTAGTCTGTATCTCCGGATTGCGGGTGTCTACGAGGAACAAGTCTGGTACTGTATGGATGGTCGAATGACTGTGTCCGATTTGAGCTCAAGTTGCGATGAGTTACGCGTAGTAAATCGTAGGTATTATAAGGCTAGTAAATGACGACATTCCCTTGTTTATGGAGTCACACTCCTTCTCCTCTTATCTACTCCTGATATTATATAATATATATATATATATATACTTGTATATATATTATATCAAGAGCGTATAAAGAAGGAGAGTAGCAACGGGACTGGATGGATGCTCCCGTGTCACCGTATGTGTTAGTTCTTCTATATCTTGGTTAGAAAGATTCTATTTCCATTGACTTCGGGATGGACAATTGCATTGCCTGAACTAGTTGTCTACAACCCTACCAAGATGCTTTTGAGTACTGCAGCCAGTTATACACAACTGGATATCCTTCACGCATTCACGTAATGAAATTTCATAAAGCCTGGCACTGAAAACACATCTCGTGTTATAGCTTCGGGCAGCCACTAAGCCAAGCAATTGATACGCAGTAGTATTATGACTGTTCAGGTGATGACGTTTAAGCTGGCGAACGTCCGAGGTGCTCATACTGGGTGCAAAATCTGCGTGACCTCGTTCTCTCATCACAGCAGCAGGGCCTCTTCTGGCCACGCAGCCCCTGGTTGAGATGTGCGACCATCCACCCTAGGTAAAGCAAGCAACGCATCAACGTTAAAGTTTATTTAAAAACAGACATGGAATGTATGCATTCACGACATGTGTTGGCATGTGAGACAGAAGAAAAATGGAACAGGAACAGTATCTTGTTGTCAGGGTGTGAATAAAAATTTGATGAAACAGGTAAGATAGACGCATACAGTGAAAACTAACAAAACAAATAGATAGGTTGAACAAATGTTTTGAGTCTATTTCATTCTAAATATGGCAAAATTCTCACCCTTATTCCCACATCCCATCCGTTCCCACAGGATTTCTTAAGGTGATTCCTGATCTCTTGCAGACTGCACACAGTACCAGTGACTAGGTTTGCGGTATTGCCCAAACCTGAAAGCAGATATTTCTGTAAAAATTACCTCAACCAGAAATGCATCGAATCATTGCATAGCTCTCAGAAACATGCCATCAAATTTTACTTACCATAAAAATATTTTAATTCGTGATAATCGTACAGCTTAACAAAGATAGTAGATCGGCTGCCAAAAACTGTTATAAAACTAGAAGGCAGTTGTCGCCAACTACATCCCCGTGTTCTCCCAAGATGTGTAAGTATACGAAGTTGGTCGCGCTAGGTCAATTAGGGGCCGAGTTATAGAGGAAGGGAAGAATATAATGAAGGTCAAGGTCAAGGTCAAGGTCAAGGTCAATGTCAAATAAAGGTGCAGTGACCTGGTTTCGGTACGCGACACACCTTCTCCCCAAGATATGCAAGATATACAAGTTTGGTCGCCGCTAGGTCAATTAGGGGCCGAGTTATAGAGGGCGGCAAGGGAAATATGATCAAGGTCAAGGTCAAATAAAAGCCGGCAGTGACCTGGTTTGGTATGCTGCTCACCTTCTCCCCAAGATGTGTAAGTAACCAAGTTTGTAGCGCTAGGTCAATTAGGGGCCGAGTTAGAGAGCGGAAGGGAAATATGATAAAGGTCAAGGTAAAGGTCAAATAAAGGTTGCAGTGACCTGGTTTGATACGCTGCTCACCTTCTCCCAAGATGTGTAAGTAATACCAAGTTTTAGCGCTAGGTCAATCAGGGGCCGAGTTAGAGAGCGAAGGGAAATATGATCAAGGTAAAGGTAAAGGTCAAATAAAAGGTCGGCAGTGACCTGGTTTTGGTACGCTGGCTCACGCTTCTCCCCAAGATTTGTAAGTATACCAAGTTGGTGAAGCGCTAGGTCAATTAGGGTTCGAGTTATAGAGCGGAAGGGAAATTGTCTGCGGCGGCGGCGCTGGGAGACATGAAATCATAGTATCCCCGCCGACTTCGTCGCGGGGCGATACAAATATAGTTGCACAGCAAACTTCCTAGCACAGAATGGCACACTGAAACATTCAGTTGATCTACAACCCATAGACACAGCCAATACCACCATTTCACACATGAATCACAAACGTATATTTAACAGTCATACTTGGCTACCTAAATTTTTTTCTTAGCAATATACAGAATGAATAAAGAGTAAGGAATAAAAATACCTCTCACGGGCACATCAATGGAAATTGTAAAAATGAATATGCGGTAACGTAGCCCAACCTGGTCATTGGTCCGACTGATACATGCTGGATCCAGCACACACCCACTGCCACGTTGTTCCCGTCGGGAAATATGGGAAGTACGTCTTTAGCGGTTAGTATAGGTTTCCGACGGTGTCCCAGAGCCCAAACAGTAGCATTTCCAGCCGACACTAGACTGAGCTTATGAGTGTGGAGGTGGCACTTGAAACCAGCACGTTCCTGAAAATGCACAACCTTTTATATATTTTGTATACGTGTTAACTGTATTCAATATAGCTGGTATACACACTCAACCCCATGTTAAATTAATATGGCATTCAATGCAAACACCACCAACAATGTCACCTATGTGCAAAATAACACATACAGTGAACTTTTAGCCAAATAGTTGAGATATATGCATATATTAATATTAAGGCACACAATAAATGCTTACCATTTGGTAGCTGAGGCAGCACCCATTTCGCAGCAGGCTGAGCATCTTTGGCTATGCCCCATACTCTGTAGGATCCACCCACGCTATGTGAACAAACGGCTGGTCAGCGGGAACGTGTGACCACGACAGACCCTGCAGAAGAATTACACCAAATATTAAATACCAACAAACCAATGGCATATTATCGGACTCACACGAGTACTTATAAATATGAAAGTATCAATGACACTGTAGCTCACCACAAAAAGGACACAAATGAGTGAGTGAGAAGAAGTCAGTTTTAATTGAGCAACATGACGGTACATTATAGAAACGAAGAGTAGATATGGGAGAACTCCCATTATATACTCTTGATAATTATATGTGTAATTTTTTATGTGAAAATAATAAATAATATTATATATAAATTATATAAATAATTTATAAACCAAAATGAAATCACAATTTGTGACGGTAGATGGCGCTATACCCGATTTGATGTTTCTTAGCATAAATCATTATATCATAATAATAATAATAGTATAAATCATAATAGTTCATAGCAGGAATTTTGCATTAAAGATATTGTCAATGAAATCTTGTAAAACGAACCAAACGAGTGTGACACCACAGACTGTTTAATATCTGCGTGTCTATATATATATATATATGCTATATAATTGCCAAGCCCTACCTAATTTGCATTATTTTTTTTAAAATCAAAACCCCTAGCCCTTATTCATTCACATACAAAAATGAGCAAAATCCGTTGAACCTGAACTGACCTAATGACAATTCCCATTTTTGCAAAAAATTGCGCTGGCTCGAAAGTACGTCGACTGGCGTGCTCCAAAATAGGACGTTCAATATGGGAGCATAGCAGTAACAACTATACCCAATTTCAAACATTTCCTGAGTTATCGTTGACCAAAACCAAATGTTGACGGACAGACGGACGAACGAGAACGTACGACGGACGACAACCCATGGCAATAGCTCAGCTTGACGATGTCAAAGTGAGCTAAAAACGGAAGGATCTTTTACCTTACGTTCATCGTCTGTATTGATTTGATCATATCCTACTATATCATTATATCCTACCCAAATTATCAGGAATATATCTAACACACCACGTAGATTAACTGCTGCTACGGTAGTTAACATTCACTGTTAACAGTGACCCCACATTAACCACCTCTTCCATAGTCCATGTGACAATCTCACTCGGCACATTAAAAAAATACCTCACACCTCAAATATACATACATACCAAACATATACACATAAATAAAGCCAGGAAAATTTCGCCCCAGACAAAAGGGGGTGCCCGAATACGCATGCTGTAGGAATTTGGAGTATACCATTTCTCGCACGCGTTCACCTGTGGGCACTCTTTAGTGACTCCAAGTCTGCACAGCACATTGCCGTTGAGGTCGACCGCCCACACGGCGACGTTGCTGTTAGCGGGAAGCCACGTAGGTGGGTCTGTCTGCAGTGAGATGCACTGAAGCGACACCGACTCCACCTGCTGCCACGGACCGCTGGTCGCCAGGCGGCATTTCCTGCGGAAAACGCCACGACGAGACGCGTGAGCTCGGAATCCAGCTACGAACTGATCGTCGCTAACGGATCGATATAACTAATGATATAATACTGATATAACTACAGAGACTCCCCGACTTACGAACATTCGAGTTACGAACTTTCGATGATACGAACAATTTGCCCTGACAACAAGTCCATCTGAACTGATCGTAACTACGAACTAAGCTAACCTATCCGCCCGACATGACCGAGATGCGGATCGAGCTAACCGCTGTTGCGATAAGACGTTCCAAACGCCAATACTCGACAACACAGCACAGCAATGCCAACAATGCATGCGTAAAAGCAGGTATAAATTGATCTACTCAGTACTGGCAATAATATCCAAGGGGCACACGGTTGTCGCCCACGCGCTCCGACGGATTTGTCGAATGTGCTGAGTGACAATGTAGTACGTGCTCCACAATAAGCGGTACCAACCTGAACCAACGCCGGCGCCGCACGGTGTCCGACATTCTCTTTCGCTTGTGGTACAGGAAGGGAAAATCGGTGGCGTACTGCCAGCCTTCCTTGTCGGTGCCTTCCGTCTGGGAGTAGTCGATGGCCCAGTCTGAAATCCACTGCCAGTGCACCGACGGTGGTTTGATGTGCTCCTTATTCAGCTGTTCGCGACCCGACTCGTCACTCCACACTGCTCTGTCTGTCGGCAGTCTGTAACTTCATGCACGGAAAAAACGACGAGGATGTTTAACCTGTTCAGCTGGATTTTTCTGGGTAAGTCGTCAGGTAAATTTTTGGGATATCTTAAACAAATGTTTAGGAGGCATATTTGCTCTATTATGAATTCCTAAAAGATTAACAGGCAATGATATAAACTCAATTTAATATAGCTTTCATTTTATTGTAGCATGTCGGTAGGCAATTTTGGTGATACTTACTTGTGGGAATACCCTGTGAGTGGGTTCCATCTTTGATTTTCATAAATATGAATATTCCTGACATCAATTTGTTTGTACTCTTCATCAGAGCATAAGAATCCTAATCAGAAAAACGACCGAATGAGTTTTTAAATTAGCTTTTAACGAATGTGTTTATATATAGATGCAAGAATTAAGAGCTTATATGCTATGTGAACTACAATCAATATTGTATACAAATCCATGTAGCTTCGATATACACATGGTCAAAATTATACTTAAAATTTAAAATATTAATAATATTAAATATACCTAAGTTGGCTAACTTCACTGTTCTGGTTTTACTATTAGTGTACACACTATAGTGGGCAAGTATGGCTATTTTGGTTGGACTAGCCATTTAATGACATCTATTCTTAATTTAATTGTGATTTCCATCTCTGCAAATGCCATGCCATCTTGTTACATGAGATCGAAGTGGAGTACTACATTGGAGTAAAAAATCCATTGTTACCTGTGTAAAACCACGGAGTTCTATTATAAGATAGGCCCCACACAACGCCTGCACTGCTAGACTCTACAGTTTGCATATGCCCAGCCACTTGGTACCAATACCTGCAGGTCAAAGTATTGAAGTTGTTCAAATTAATTTTATATGGTACCTCCGAGCGTTACATAGAGCAATATTTTTCATTGAAAAAACACATTAATCACAAAGCAAATATTTACATATATCAGCAGGCTAGAATCATCTATGAAAGGGGAAGTAGAAAACGTAAGCATGTTTGTCTAAAAAGCAGTTTCACAGCCACAAACAGCCAAATAAACACTTATGCAGTATTTAAATGTAAATACAATTGACAATTTCAGAAAACTTCGTTCGTACCATATCATCTCACATTTAGTTTAACTTCCAATTCATAACTACTTTACAGTGCAACTTACATTAGCTGAACATGAAGGAAATTTATTGGCACAACAGGACTGGGGGACAATTGGTCACTGTTCGGTTCCCTGGTATATTGCAGTACATGTGGCAGCATGTTATGCACAAATATGTCTCCTCTGTCTGTGGTAGACCAGGCAGCATTATAGGAAGGCGACGCTTTTATACATCGCACATCTCGGCACCCCATCGTCAGTGCTTTCATCTGCAATAACGAAATGTTGTTCACATATATTTCATTGAAATAATTTTCCTACATATGACGAAACTAATACTACTTGATCAGTGTTTCACTATTAATCCATGGTTGACCAAAGGTTTTGTAATTTTCACGTTCTCTACCCGTAACATGCATCATATATACCTTTAAATGCACACGTTACTTATCTAGTATTGCAAAACGTGAACACTCACCCATTCTTCCAATTCCTTGTCCGATGCGGTGGCCAGCTTTAGTGGCATCCCCTTTCCGGTTCTCTTTGGAGTGTAGACAGCGAAGACCGAGTATTTAGTGGGATCTTTGATGCGGAGAATGCAGGTGATCTCACCAATAGCAATGCGATGACAATGTGACAACATGACGATGTGCTGAAGTCAAACAATTTCCACAGATTACCATCGCGTACGATTCCGTTGACATCGAAACGAAACAGAGTTTTACATAATTATGTGCATGCAGGTACAATGCAACCGCAATCACAACTAGCGTAACCCACCTTTAACTCGCGATGCTTAGAATAGCTGCAGGTAAGAGTGCCATCAGATGTTCCTTGTGTCGCCCCCAGCTGCTCAAATTCCACTTTACAGTCCATCCAGCCATTTCGTTCGTGCCATACGTGCATGTCTCCCTTTTTAACCCACGATTTCTGCACACGCAAATTAAAATACGCGATAGAAAGTACAAAGTTGAACAGGGGGAAGAAGGTGAGTAAGCAATACGGAGTGTGATTCTGCTCACTGAACTTCTAGAGTTTATGCAAAAATAATTCAGGCCATCTTAGCAATGAGTAGTTAGTCATGAACCATAGAACCATGAACAATAGAACATGAAATTCAAAGCTGCATGGAGTGACTGCCATAATGTGTTATCGATCCAGCCTGATCATCTTGTACCACATCGCAAACAAAGGCTGTCACCTAAGGCAGCAATGCTCGCCTTAGGAGTTTTCATCCCACTGCATGCCTCACCTTGAAAATAGCATGCTCGTATTGTAGAAACGGCTGTTTCTGTCTATTATTTCGCTCTCGTAGTTTCCTTGTGATGTCTCTGTACCAAGCTTCCCATTTAACACTTTTCACTTCCTTCTTTTTGCCTGCAACAAGCATTTAGTTAAACGAAGTAGAAAAATGTACAATGCAAAACCCAACTACAAAGTCAATACAACAGGTGTTATGGAAGTACACCAACATAATTAAATTTCTTTCACTACAAACTGATTACAACAACATTGAACTATTTCACGAAAATATATCTAATCGTGACAGTTATATTGCTTAAAATGTATAGCCCAATACCTGATAGTACATGAATTATGATATGACCGACGAAATATTTGTGACTAACGTTTATGAAATGAGGGCAACAGTAGAATGACAAAGCTGCTAATTAACAAACCAACCAAGAATCGTCTCATATACCTGATGTAAACCAATCATCTGGAGGTGCACTTGGTTCGAGAACACATGCCGACGCGCTGACCCAGCTCCAACGAACATCCTCGACCTGTCCCCCTGTCAGCCAATCAGCAACCTGGACTCGTTCAGCGCCACATATTTGATCCATGGAGGTCATCGAGCTGCATCTACTATATTGAGAAAAACAAATTGGTGTGACAGGCTTGGTGTATAGCGCAAAGGATATCATAATAACAGCACTGCAGCAGATAGTTAACCAAAATAAAAACACATTTGCTAAATATATCAAGGGTATAAGGGACCTAGACTGACACCATTCTATGGCCTTATGTCCAACTGGGGAACCAAAAGGATAAGTAAGTAAGTAGACTAACACCATGACAACTATACATTAACATTGAACGTACATTTGAAAGAGTGTTTGGCACTACATTAGCAATAAAAGCTGTTGCCATGAATGAATACATGAGAAGCTAAACTTCGAACTTCTTCGTTAACATAAGGGGACATGCCAGCGCAGCATTCAGAGTCATATTAAACTCCTCAAACCGTCCAATAAAATCTTCCTCACTCTCCCCCTGCATATTTTACCAGGTGACTTTGGGGTTTTGACAACTTTTTACGAAGCCGAGCTTTGATAAGACGTCGCACACTGGATAAATCAAGGCATCAAAGTATTAGCATAGTACGCACATCCCGGGAAAAAAACCCGAATGCATAGTTATAAATATGAAAGTGTCAATGACACTGTAGCTCACCACAAAAAAGGACACAAATGAGTGAGTGAGAAGAAGTCAGTTATAATTGAGCAACCATCGACATACATTATAGAAACGAAGAGTATATATGGGAGAACTCCCATTATATACTCTTGATAATTATGTGTAATTTTTTATGTGAAAATAAATGTTTGAGATGTGAAAGTCTGAGATGTGGGCGAGTGATGGCGTTACACCTAAATGATCGCCATTTAACGTTTTTATAATATTCAGATTTAGGCACTGCCTAAAAAGGAGCTCCCGATGTGTGACGTGTAAGATTGAGAGGATACGCTTATTCCACGTAGCTGCTATATACCACGTGACAATGGTGTTTCCCTGCCCAAGGTTAATTGGTTGCATGGAAGTGTTTACTTCGTATGAGTTTTTCTAGGCGGTAGCACATGGTTGCCATCTGTATATCGCAATAATAATTTATAAACCAAAATGAATCACAATTTGTGACGGTAGATGGCACTATACCCGCTTTGATGTTTCTTAGCAATGGCATTCGAAATAAATAGGTTATGCTGCGTTCCAACATGTTTTGTAAAACTTTACTCTAATATAGACGTTTTATCGGCAGGGTGGAAAAGAAATACCAATTTTGCATTAAAGATATTGTCAATGAAATCTTGTAAAACGAACGAGACGAGTGTGACACCATAGACTGTTATCTGCGTGTCTATAAAATATGCTATGGTAATTGCCAAAACCTACCTAATTTGCATAATTTTTTTTTAAATATCAAAACCCCTAGCCCTTATTCATTCACATACCAAAAATGAGCAAAATCCGTTGAACCTGAACTGACTAGTGACAATTCCCATTTTTGCCAAAAAATTGCCGTGGTTCGAAAGTACGTCGACCGGCGTGCTCCAAAATAGGACGTTCAAACCTCTCCCATAGCAGTAACAACTATACCCAATTTCAAACATGTGGGTCAAACGGTTCCTGAGTTATCGTTGACCGTAGCCAAATGTTGACGGAAGGACGGACGGACAGACGGACCGACGGACGGACGTACGACGGACGATGACCCATGGCAATAGAGCTTGACGATGTCAAGGTGAGCAAAATATACCTGCTATCATGCTCTGATAAACTAGTTTCTCTTGACCTTTGAGAGGAAAGGCTGCAGGCGGCCGGATCAAAATCATCCGACTCTCGCGTGGCACCTCCTCTGCTCGTGTCAGCAGCAGAATCATGAGGCATGCTACTCACGTCAGCAGCTGCACTGCCGACACTCAGAGAGCACTGCTGTTGCAACGAGGTGGCGCAAGCGGCTTCGGCACTCGAAACAACAGTCTCACAGAAATTAATGATGTTGTCGGACACGTCCGACGAAAAACTGCCCTTGGAGCGACTCTTCTCAGTCGTCACGGTAACTGTGTTCTCCGTGATTTCCGTGAGTCCCTGCTCCACGTTGACGGACAGTTTGCTGTCACGTTCATTGCAGGAATCGCCACCAGGCGGAGCTTCTAACGTTTCCCGGCGTAGAGCATTCGTACTTATCTGCGGTGATCCAAACATTTCTTCCACAAAAATTCCAGGATCCAATGACTCGCCATACACATTTGGCAAGCTTTCGTCGTCCGACCTACAGATAAATGTTGACAGTTGACACAATACCATATTGGCATTTGGGAAACAATTACACAAACTTACCAAAGAAAACGTTTAAAACGTTTTTTCACATTAGGCAGTAGCACGAGTGTGACTACCAGAGACTCCTACTTCATGCAGCCTACGATTACCAGTTTCTGTTATGAATCGTGATCCACTATCACCAAAAACCATTGATGGGACGTACAATGATCTGGCCGAGAGAGACGACATAGAACTGGTGCTGTACGCATTGGTGAGAACTGGGCGAGGTTTAGCCTCCAGGGGGCGCCACACCTTGCCGCTCAAGTCCGCAGCAGTTACGCCGGTTCGATAGTACAGCTTCCTGTCATGGCGTCCGATGCCAAACACCTAGGAAATTACGTTCCAACGTTAGAGCTGAAATATCGCCCCAGAGCACGTATCGTATGACGACGACGCAAGTCTGAAATTTTCTGAACTCGACTAGTTTACATCTAACGTAGAATCACCTTGCACCTCGTCATTGTCAAAATGCTACGTACAATCAGTTGCAGCCATAAACACCTTTTAGAAATCTCAACCCCCTGCATATGGTAGGTACGTTCACCAATAAGACGTAATAAGGAGATACGCTGTTGTGGTTCGTTGCTGGTATTGTAGAAGTATCGCGGAATTTTTGTCTACCTGGCAATGTATTTCTGGGTTTGAATTAAAAGCAGCATAAACTTGCACCTGGTCATTTGGCCCGATAGATAAATGTGCCATATGGGTCATCATCTGCACCCATCCTGTACCAATGCAAGCTGTTCGGTCTGACCCTGCCTTCACTCCACATACGTCCTTTCGGAACCACACCTATAACAAATATGTAAATCGACGGTAAAATACCATGTATATGATCACGCATGCGTAGAGATTATTTCAAACACATAGTCAATCTATTCATCACAGATCTAAACACTCACAGAGTTTCATTCGCGAGTATACATCAGAATCGTTCCGATAATGAATGGGTACGGGCAGCTTCCACGCGACTCGGCTAATGAGTGATAGTCATTAATCATCAAATTTTGATGCTACCATATGGCTCTTGCGTGATTTTAATCATGTTGTTATTTCGTAATCTACTGGAGTGGCTGACTGGAAGACTGAATTGTCACTTCTCCCTCCATCACTTCTATTTATTTAGTTTCATTTGTTTTAATTTTATCAGCATTGTCTATAACTTGTTTAACTAATATGTTACCTCCACAATGTAATTCATCAGTGTGAATGAAATAAATTGAATTGAATTGAATTACCATTCCATCTCTCCCTAGAGCCCACACTGCATTACTGCCTACTGTAACCAAGATAATTGGATCTCCGGGTGAATCAACTTCATACCAGTCATTGCCTAGAGTATAATGTGTGTAATCAATATACGTGAAATAATAATAATAAGTATAAAGTAATACGTAGAAAGTTGTAGAAGAAGCAACAAGGAATACCATGAGGGAAGACAGTCCATTAATCACGAGTAATGATCGGTGTAGATTCAGCTCACTTCCAATATTACGTTGAATAAAAAACACTACGCTAACAGTGAACATTAAAGCAGTCACACAATTAGGCCATTGATAATTTAACATTACAGACACACACTCTGTGGTGATAGAGTTTACCTGTGAGGTTTTCTCGTGTGATTCCACCTCTGGCTAGTACACGTCCACTCCACGTGACCACCCACACCAAGCCATTAGGACCAACAGCAATATAATTCACTTCTGGAGCTGTGCTGACACAAACCCACGAATATCCTTCTGGATTGTTCTGGGCTATGCCTTGTCGGTAAAAAACCTATGAGGGAATACCATGTATCGAATCTAATGCAGTACATATAATTAACCTGAAACACTTTAATAATTAAACGTAGTTTGTTTCACGAAAAAAGTCACAGTTGAATAACTATATGCTGAGATTTCTTATTCTCCTTATTGATCCATTATATCAATTATTTATTTGGGGTCAGCCCTATAGACCGAAGGTCCGATAGACCGAATATTGCAAAAGGTTAGGGTTAGGGTTATGGTTAGGGTTAGCGCATATATATGGTTTATAGTGGCATCAGTGGATGTGCGGCATATTCATGTTCGAATACGGCATCAGTGGATGTCCGGATGCGTAGCCTGGAGGCTAGGCGACCGATTCCGGACGTGTAGCCACTGCGTATTCGAATAAACCTTCGGTCTATTGGGTCTTCGGTCTATTGGGTCTTCGGTCTATAGGGCTGTAACCATTTATTTTCACTCTGAATAATAAGAATCTGTGAAACTTCTCACCCTGCCTTGAATGGTTACTGCCCACACGGCAAGATAGTCCGAAGGCATGCCTGAAAGCTCCTGACCACCAACAGCAATCGAAATGAATGGTTCCTCAGTAAAATCCTTTCCAAGACCAGGTACCTGTAAATAAAAATGCAACAAATAGAAACTCTGTAACAAACGTAGGTATATACATGTATTTATATATAAATATATTTGTACTATATATATATATATATATATATATATATATATATATAT